TGTGTTTTCTCCGATCTGCAGACAAATGGAGGATCAGCGGAACAAGGTCAGGTTGACGAGTTCACGTTGAGTACTTCGGGGTCGAGTCGAGTCTACTGGCAATGGAAAATGAGACACGGAATGAGGTCGACGGACGCCATGGAATGACCAGCGGCGTTCTGCGTGAACTAACCCAAACCGCAGTGACTAAAACAGAGCTGGGTCTAAAGAATAAGCAGCTGGTGTTCGAGTTGATCTTCATCCTCATACCCACCTACGGTCATACTCATCGCCCACGACAAGCTGAAATGGGCTGGGCTCGCGCTTCTCGACATGGTCGGCAGCGAGATATCCGAAAGAACCTAGGCATACACCCGGTACTTCTCGAAACTGAGAATTCAAAGGTCACATACGAATGCTTCTAGAAAGTAAGGTGAAACAACCACTGCTGGCCTAACTGACCGACCGAGAATTCCGGGTACTGAACTGAAGGCAGGTGCTTTGATAGACTCTGCTTTGTAAAGGTTATCTTTTGCCAAAGCTCTACCACTAGAACAGGGTCGGGAACGTGGGGAACCACATTTGAGACGTCTGCCCCCGCTACCCCAAGGAATAAGCGGTCGTCGAAACTGACTGATTCCAAACATGAAGTTATGGAAAATGTGAGGATAAATAATAAAGGTGCCCCGGTCAACATTCAAACACCCAACGTCATTTCAATATCACGTCATTGGTCTATTGTACGATCAAAAGGAAAGGAGAAAACAAAACTTTGAATGAAACCCTTCACCTTAGGCAACATTCAACTATCTGCGAAAGCCTTAAATGGCAGGGCAAAACCTGAAGATACCTTGCAGAGTAGATCTTTTTTGAAGAGTAATATGAGACCGGTAAAAAATTCTTTTGTGCTGAAAGATATAGCCATGTTCCGGATACTAAACAAAAAATACATTCAGTCAATATAATCTTTACAAAAGCATAACTTATACACTTAATACTGATCTGAAAGTGATTGATTCGGTTAAACATCGCCCATCTGGACGATTCTACTGTTTCCAACCGTCGTTAGCCGATGTTGGAGATGACAGTAACAATAACATCGCTGTTCTGGACCATAAAATTTTAATCTACTAACTGAGGAGTCCCATTTTTGGCCTACATAACCTCACTTACATTATAAATCCATCCGTTCAAAAACAATATGCCATTTAAAACGCTCCCTTGAATCAAGCCTGCTTCCAGCGAAAACATGGCCTTTGTTGCAGTAGCTTTGTTCGGATGAATCAAACTTTTTATTTCTAGACGGTCAGTTAAACGCCAATAAGTCCAATTAGCAATCCATCGGATATGGCAGATTTGTCAGTAGAAAAGGAAAGGAAACGGTGGAGGAGTTTGACAAACTTAAATATGTCGGTTCCATCATCTCCAGCGATCGCCCTTCAAATTATAGTAAAAATTATAGTAAAACAACACAATCGCCTCCAGTGGCTGTTACATCACAGTTCATAGTTTTCCGGCGGTTATGCCAAATGTGCATCGATGGCGAAAAGCTAGCATTGACTCAACGCTTTCACTCCCCCTTTCGTTTCACTTACTATGAAAATATTAATGTGGAGAACTGCATTCTAAGTTTGAAGTTCTTCAAATACTTTAAACGCGCCAGTCCTGTAGCCTGCATTTTGTTAATTGGCCAAGTAAAACCTTCCATTACCTGTTCACTGGAAAATCCACCCTTAATTCTTTCACCCTTTGCACAGAACAGACAGTAAAATGCCCTAGTTATGAACTATTTTTTAGGTAAATATGGACCATGACTTATAGGATTTTGCACAGATTTGCGACCAGAATGGCCTTCTTCATAAAGGTCTGTCCTATGAAATCTAAATCTGTCATTCATTAGCAGATCGTTATGGGTTGATGACCACATTTCTGATTCAGAGGATCGAATCTCACAGTGTTTATCTCAACACATGGTCCAGCACGTTCATCATTACTGGTCGTAGCCACATGAGGTATAACAGTGACCGCATTTGAAAAAGTTACATGCATACTGTAAGATCGTCATGAAAATTAATGATGACATTCTTCTGGCAATAAACTCAATATCAATAGTTTTTATCTCTCCCAAAGGCTTCAGATTTTAATCATTCAAGAGCACGACATTAATCATCAATCTAATTTTCACGTTCACCAGACTCGGGGAAGAAATGCCGCCCTTAGCCTCAGGTCACCGCCCATCACAACGCCATTCCGATCGTTGAGTCTAGACTCGAGAAAATACGATGTCGTAATTGGTGCTTGTTTACGGTTTAGTTCTGAAGTCTTCCATGATTCATGAGCGAGTTAAGAGTACCGTATATTGAACGAATTACTCAGATGAACTATATGACTGACCGCATGAAATTTGAGCTTCAGAACTTGCCAAAACTTTTGATGCATCATTCGTAGTGAGCGACACATTTGTGAGCAGCGAAGAAAGAGATCTGATGACTCTGAAAAGTGCTGAGGGTTGCCTGCTTCTTTTTGAAGGCTGCTATCCGTTACAGTCTGAGCTTAAGCAACGAGGCAGCTATGTTTATGAATAATATGGCAACGAGAATTTTTAAAACGGACCTAAATTTTCGAATTAATGTAATTTGCTCAAACTAGAATAAGACTGGATATGAAGGAGGAAGCAATTCAACATGTCAGTAGTAGTTTTGTACTCTTAGATGCCGGTTTTACCATGCTCGATACAAATTCCTATTATCATCTGCTCATTTCACTTAGCATGAGATCCATCCCGTTGCAATTCAACGCAACCAGCAGAGAAGCTGGTCGCAGGGCGTTTATCGACGAACAGTGGGGACATCAAGATGCTCTTAGCCATGGCAGTTCACCTTGATTCAACTGATAACTGATTAAAAATCACCGCTATGTGCAAAGAGTAAGATACGCTGAAAAAGAAGGGACAATAAGAAGAATGGTGAGGAAAAAAGGAAGATGACGAGAGGAGGAATAAGAAAAAGAACATCAGGAGGAAGCAAGAGGAAGGAAAGATTACTTAGAAGAAGAAAAGGGAGAAGCGAAAGGAATGAAAAGAAGAGAAGCAAAGAAAGGTTATGAGAATACGTGAAAAAAGAAAGCCAATAAAAAAGGATATGTAGAATATGAGGAGAGAGGTTTTGCAGTGGTAAGTATTTGGCTTAGAACTCAAATGGTATTTGATTCGAATTCCAAAAATAATGTTGCTAACTTCTAATGCTCTTAACCATTGAATTCACTTTATGTTGCTATGGTATAACCAACTAAGAATGTAACCAGAAGATTCCATGGTATTCTGGCTTATTTATACCAAAACGACGTAGGTTATGGCTATATAGGCTTAGGTTAGCACCTCTGAGGGATGCAACTGGTCTTGACCCATTTGATAGCCGATTACCCAATGTGATAGTCGGCGTGAGGAAAAAGGTCTATAGATGCTGTAGAAGAGAAGAGGGCAAAAAAATAGTAGAAATGAGGAATGGACAAAATGAATGGAAAAAGTAGCATAATTATAAAAATGAGAGATAAAGAAACGAACGGTGAATGTGAAGGAGAAGAAAGAGAAGATGGATTCGATAAAACCTAGTAGGTCAGGAAGGAAAAAAAACTAGATGGCAACAGCGGTAGAGAATGTCTAGGAGAAAAAGAAAGAAAATTGGAAATTGGAGTGAAAGATTAAACGGAAAGAAAACAGTTATCGAGAGATTAGCAGAACGGGTCAGGAAAAATAGACGAATAAAGGGGCACAGCAGAAGATGAAATACACAAAAAAATGAACGAAATGTAAGTGGAAAAATAAAGCAGAGGGAAAAAGGTAAATGTAAGAGAAAAAGGAACGAAAATGTCGTTGTGTTTCAGCTGGCGAGAGGTAGAGCAAGAAGCCCTATACACATGCATCGGTAGAACCATCTGTTATGGAGATGGCTTGGAAATGATTCCGGAAGGTCGAGGCGGTGGTGCTGCCCTCCACTGACCAATGACATCATCCGTTGACCAAAACTCTCAAAATGCTCCACCTCTCTGAATCCGTCGGGCGGAATGATGGCTGGAGAGACATTGGTAATAGTTCACGACGGATGGCACCCGGAATGGGCCTGCCCAATAATTGCTAGCCAAAAATCACTCACACATAGACGGAAGTCGGGAAAAGAGTAGCAGGCTTCCACATTGGCCTGAAAAACACCTAAGACTCTGTAAACCACAGTACGTGATTGGTAGAGGAACCGGAACTCGTAAATATTTTCGTGGCCAGCCATCATACAAGAACGCTATCGACAGACGCATTTGTCGACGTCTATATCGCGAAACCGAAGAAGATCCACCCAAGAAGAACTATTGAACTTTCTGCGCAGTGGAGCAACAGGGGCAAAGTATTCCTCAGGAACGTCTTCGAGAACCGAACTCAGATCGATGGCGCTAAGTTCATAAAAAATGAGAGCTGTACCCTTTTGCATTGAGCTGTGATACTATATCACATCGTATAGCAGTTTACGTATACAGATGGACAAAAGAAGAACAATAAAACTACTCAAAGCCTACAGCCCAACGGAACAAGCTGAAGGTGATGAGAACAGGTAATTCTGGAGGATTTGCAAGGTACAATGGAGAAGGCTGCGTGCACGATTGTTCAGGGAGGATTCAACTCAGTGGTGGTCAAACGATCGAGCGACATTGAGGTACTAATCGGTAAATACTTCAGATCGCCGAAAGCAATGGTCTTCATGTCATGATTACCGTGTTCCCAAAACGTTCTAAGCTACGGTA